TCTTCGTAAATCAGGACAGGTTCTTGATAAATTGGTACCAGAGCCGAACCTCCACTATTATAATTTCTTCTTCTGTGCCTTCCTTCTCTTTGCTCTTCTTTCCTCTCCATTTTCTCCCCCCTTTGTTTCTGTTCTAATAGTCTTCAAACATAAAAAAGAAAAAAAAAAAAAAGTACAATCATGAACGTAAAACCAAACTCCCAAAATGATTAGCAGACAAAGTTTTGATTAGAGCGGGAAGAGAACCCACGCCAGGGAGCACCTAATCACAGAGTTGAAGAGGAAGCTGCAAATGAGCTTCATGATTCCCGAAGCTCGACAGAGCTTCAATTGAAGCAGGAAGCAGCTCTAAGAGTGAATGTCTGCAAGACAAAATTGAGGAGATGAAGATGATGTTGCGGTTGAGCTGACATTTTTCCTCACCATCTGCAAATGAGCTTCGTTGGTCGTGAGTTCCTTGAGAACATCCTCCAACATAAGCTTGTCTTCAACTTTGCTCGGAAAAATTTCACCCACAGAGAGTTCTGATCTCTCTTCTTTTAGGGAGAACCATGATACACAGCAACTAATCTCTTCTTCTCAAGGACGTAAAATGTTATGCCGAGAAGCTTCCTCTCCTAACTCACCTGCTTCGCCAAAAAGGATGAGTCAGTCGACTTGTTTTAAGAAAGTTTGTTCAGACTCTGTTTCTCTAACATTAGATTCTCCCTTATCTTCCACAACAAGCGTGACTTCCTCACGCTCACTGTTGTTCAGGAAAGAGGCAGAAGCAGATCAGTTGTTGTCATTCCCGAAGATATAGTAGAGATTGTAGAATTTTTTATGATTGCAAAGCTAGATGAATTTGTAGAGGAGCCAAAGCATGTTAAAAACATTGGAAATGAAGGTGGCTCGATGAATGAGCATGGGATGCTTGTTAAAATTCCTCATCCACAATATTTGTCCAGGAATGTGTCATTTTTAGGTAATTAATCATCGCATTGAACAGACCAAAGTATGGCATCACTATAGGACCTCATGAAGTTGTTAACAACAAGGAGGTTTGAAGCTTCAATTAGAATCCAAACTCTAGTCGTAGATGGTGATTGTCCTTTTAAAATTCAGCTAGGATTGCACTTCAACAACAATAGGATCCGGTTGAAGGATGTTTGGTTATACGTTAATATCACATCCATAAATCAATATTGTTCTAATTTGATAAGCAGAGCAAAAAGAAATGGGCAGATGATAATGATGGTTGATTGATTGGCATCTCTTGTGTGGATTGCTTAATATTTCTTCATGGCTCTTTAGCTTCAGGTTAATATGCATCCTTACAAGGATTATTTTCATGGAAGTGGTAGTCTCAGGACCCAAGTGACACATAAGGGCTGAGGTGTCAATAGAGAAGCTGTTGGGGTTGTTTCTTTAGTCTTTTCTATTTTTTGTGTTTTCCGTTATTACTTTCCCGCTTTCTCGGACAGAATAATATAAAAGAGTAGAGTTGGGAATTAATTTATATCGAGAAAATATGAATGAGATTTAAAACTTCTCTCTGCAGCAATTCTTCTTTTCTCTTCATCTTTCTTGCTCTTTCTTCTCTTTAAATACTAAAGCTGCTCTCATCTTCTTCCACATTCTTTTCTGTTTCTTCTGCAATTCTTCTTCTTCCTTTATTTCTACAAAAATCAGGTCAGGTTTCTGACATGCATTATCAAGATACCTGACAATTAACATATTCCACAAATGGTTGCCCTAAGAGAAGTCAGAAAATTATGATATAGGGTTATTGCTATTCAGGGATAAATAATAGAACCCTAGCAGAAGATAGCCAGTGAAAGATTATCAAGCCAAAGGGTTTTCCCAGATAAAGAGAGAACCATCACCCACCCTCAAGCTAAGCAAATGAAGAGAAGACGCATGAAGGCTTGGGAAAAGCTTTCCATGGCTCATGTATGAAGTAGAAGAGCTGAAATTGGAGTCCTGCCCATTTTGATATAGATCAAACTTGTTTTAATCATCCTATGACAACAAAAATTATGTTCTAAGTAAAATCATCAAAATCATTTAGCCAATAAAAACAGGTTTTTACATGAAAGTCTCCCAAAATCGGGAACCCCATTAACCTTAGACAAACAGCAACCTGCCACCTCACGAGATGGTCCCTTATAGAATCACTCAAACCAGACAAAAAGGAATTCCTCATCAACCTCTCAATGCTCTTAGCAACACAACTAGGCGCTTTTGTCAAAGAGAGAAAGAGGGAAACACCAGAAAGGCGCACTTGAATTAGAGTGACTTTACCAAGTACCACCAAGGGAAGAACTGTTCTGAACGATCCCCATGCGAGTAGTCTTGGGTTATGGGAATTATTTGATTTTGATAAACCAAGCAATTGGAAGAAAAGACCATTTTTCCAACACTCGAGGCATTTAGAGATTTTATGCACCGCTAAATCTCGAAAGGAAGGCATCTCCGGATTAACCCCCAAAAGGACCCTCAAATAGGTGATAGACCACTCTGAAACCTCACACCTTACTGACTCTGCAAGCCTTCAAACCACCCAATCCTTCATCTTGATACCAACTAGTGCTCTCCTTAAGAATAATGCATAGACACAATATACTCTGAAACTCGTGCAAAATAGTCATAAAATTCCAGAAGAGAAGACAACATTGAGAAAGAAAAAAGATCATATCATCAACAAACTGGTGAGAAACAACTATTCTATCATGCGCCATATAAATAACCTTAATTAAATCCCACTTTATGTTATGAGAAACATCCAACTGAGCACATCACCCACAATGGTGAAAGAAAAGGGGAGAGAGAATTCCCCCTATTTCAAAGTCTTTGCCCTGAAACCACGAATTAAGCTTCCTATTAACCATAACAGCAAAGGACATGGAAGAAAGACACCCAGAAATGTAACTCATTCTCCTCGCACCAAAACCCTTCTTGTCTATAACTTCATTAAAAAAGCCCCAATTCCTAGATTCATAAGTTTTTCAAAGTTCTGCTTAAAAACCAAACCCTTAGTGTTCAAGCTCTGGCACTCCTTCACCACCTCAACGATAAAGGAAACACCCAGGATCTACTTACCCAAATAAATGCACTTTAGTGGCCCAAGATAGTCCCACCCACGACCTCATGCAATCTCAAAGAGAACATTTCTACAATGATCTTATACACAATTTTGACCAAGATTATAAAGCAATAACCGAAAACCATAACAAAGTGATCTTTGTTTTGAACTAGAGTGATAAAAGTAGAATTCATATTAATACCAACACTACCTTTTAAAAAAAACTACTCAAATGTCTTAAAGACATATCCTTTAATCGCTTCCCAACAATTCTAAAAGAAAACCATCATAAAATCATCTGGCCCAAGACCTTTATCTACATCCATGAAAATCTCTTATTCTTAGCCTCATTAGAAAGTCTCTCCAACCAGCTAGCCCTCTCCTCATCAATCAGACACCAAGCAAGGCCCAAGATGGAAGGACAATAAACAATGTCATCCTCAAATTTCTTGCAAAAATTTGTTATCTTATGACCATGAAAACCTCTTGATCCCTCCAAAGACTATCGTCCTCAAGATATAACTCTTTGATAGAGCTCTTCCTTAGAGGTGTGCATTATCGGACAGGTCCTCTGTCCAGGAGGATCTGAATTGAGAAGACTGGTCCATTCCAATCCCGTCCCAGTTTGGACCGTTTAACATGACTTAAAATATATATAATCTACCCAAAAAAACCATTAACAAGTCTAAAACCCCTAATCCTAACTATTCACTCCAGTCCCACCCACCAGTTCCCTCTCCTCTGGCCGCTACAGCATTACTAGCCTTCTTCTCATCTCCTGCTTCCTCTCCCTTGCCAATTGCTCCTGCTAGGTCTCACGTCTACTTCTCATCTCCAGCAGCTACTTCACTTGCCTTCCTCCTCTGTCTCTGCGTTCACATGCCTCTTTGCCTCCATCTGCTACTGCGCGTGCCTAACCCAGCATCTCCTCTCTAGTCATCTCACCTTTGCTCAGCTACAGGCGATGCCTCAGTCTCACACACCCAATGCTCTCAGCTCCACATGGGTGATTGATTGTGCAGGGCGATTCCTTTTTTATTAGTCCAACTGGTCCAATTGGTCTGGACCAAACTGAACTGACCGATTTTTAAATGGTTAGGTTTGCAGTCCAGATCATATTCCAGCTCTCGTTACAATCAGGTCTGGCCTGATCCGGTTCCAAACAATTGCATACGCCTATTCTTCCTCCTCCTAGGATATTTTGGCAATTGAATTAAAATTATAAAAATTATTATGGGATCTAAATTACTAATATTACAACTCATGGGGTAAAATGTGCTAAAATCATAATATCAAAATAATTTTTTTTATATCAAAACACTAAACACCATGAGGAGCCAACCTCACGTTAACCCACCCAATGAAAAGTCACATACTAGCATCACCTCCTTGACCCCGTTCCTTCGACCTCCAACTAATATCCTCTTGTACATCTCAAGTTCATTTTTAAGAGAAGAAAATTGTATTATTTGATCATCAATAGCAGCCTTATCTAAAACCAACTCATCAAGGGAAGAAATCTCAAGGATCTCATTTTCCTAACTCTATTCTCCCCAAAAATCTTCTCATTCCGCACCTTCAATCTGTCCTCAGAAATTGAAATTTTTCTATAAACCTAAACCCCCTTTGTCCATCAGGAGCACAATATTTTCACTAAAGATAGCATGAGTCATATTTCTGAATGGAAAGGTGCAGGACCTTACATCAGATCACTAGACTCTAGGAGAATAGTAAAGTATCAGATACTGGGCAGAGGAGAACCTCTTGCACCAAATCAAGAAAGTTATCTCCCAACAATTTTGAAACAAGAAAACAATCAATATGGGAGGAAGCTAACCTACCCCTGTTCACCAACCAGGTAAACTGAGCATTCAAGAGAGGGATGTTTTCAAATGTTCTTTTTTTTTTCAGATTTGAGATAGAACCAGGACTATAATTTTTTTAAAAGAAGGGTCCTGAGATACGTTCGGAATAAATTAGATCTTCTTCCCAAAAGAATGAGGGGATAAAATACTCAGGATCAAAATTTTTAAAACAAATGAGAATTTTATAGGCATCAATCAAAGCTCACCAAAAACTCATCGCAATCCTTTGAACGCAAACAAAGAAAGAAGAAATAGAATATTTGATTTGATGCAAGCCAAATGATGTACGTTGGATATTTGCACAATTTTACTTGAGTTTTCAGTTACAGTCCACCATGCACGTACAAAACTTTATATCATAGTAATCTTTTTGGGGGAAAAAAAAAAAGAAAAGTAACTTATCACAATACCTTTGGTGATCTTTCAAAGTTCCAGACGAAAATTTAAAACATAGATAAATATAGCTTGTAAATATCTTTCACCTGTCATAATCTAAAATTTTCAAAATGGAAGCCATCAACACCCCAGTATGGTACTATAACCCCACGTTTCTTAAATATACCCGTGCACCATGGATTACTACCCTATTAACAATAATTCAGATGCTCAAATCATCAATTAACTATCCTATTAAGAACAAGGGCAAGTTAACTGTAAGTATTGGGTATGGAGAAGAAAACCTCTGACTGGAAGTCTAGAACTTATCATAGTTTTAGTATTCCATCTTGTATATGCAATCTGCATTTGATATACAAAGACAGTACAGTGTAATATGCACACAAATACTTCCGCCTCTATTCCAATTTCAATGGATCACACGGACTCTTCATGCATGTAGACATAGATATCTAGAACTAGAAGTCTATAAGCATCCAAATACACCCAAAAAAGCTGTTAAAAGTTAAATGTTGCATCAACAGGTATAAATCAAAATGATTAAAGCATAAATCATCGGATGATTTGCCATAAGAGAAAAAGTCAATGACTACTTTAACAAAAATGAAATAAATAAGGGCAATCAGAAATCTACTTTACGACCAAAGTGATATTGAAAAGTGAAAACTTAATAATCCAGTAGGCAATCCTTATGAAAGCTATAAACACATTCACTAACCCAGACTTCATGAAATGACGGAAGTACGCAATCAGACGATATGTGTGTATAGATTGAAGACCAAATGAAAACTTATTCGCCAAAATAAACGAATACAAAGGAAATGAAAAAACTAAATCGAGACAAACGCATAAAAGTTCCATAAAACATTTACCAAAAAGTGCTAAAAACAAAAAAATGGACAATAAGAAGGTCGAGTAGGAAAAAAGAGAAGCGATCACTCACGCAGATTACGAGAATAGCACGGAGGGGACTGCCTCTTCGAGTCCACAGAACAACCTGACGGCCAGTATTTCTCGAAGCTTGCTGAAGATGTGGCCCGTGCTCAGAGAAAGAAGCTCTAATCCGGTGCAAAAGTGAATTTGAAGAAGACGCAGAAGATTGGCGATCAGGGAATAGAATCGCAACTATCATACTGCGTAGAACGGCGTAGAGAGTGTACTCCTCCTGAGAGGACATACTTTTTGTGGAGATGAAATCAGATTCGCCGTTGATTCCTTCCTTTTCATGCGATTCGTCGCCCATTTTCAGACGATGATGCTCTGTTGCAGGGTACAAGACTGTTTGTGTTGAAGATGATAAGCTTTCGGAAATTTTTTCCTTTTTTTTTTTTTTTTTAAGCCGGAAGTAGACTGGGAGTGGTGTGTAGACTAAGATTTTCATTTGGCAGTTGGGATCTGATTTGGAATTTAATTTTTTTTTCTATTTTTTTATTAATTTTTCGAGTTTAGATACAACTTCATTGACAGCTACACGTTCGGCCCGTACACGTGGCGGATTATGTGGTTGGCTTTTTGCCGTTGGAATTTTTTTAGTCTCTTTGAAAGCGAATGGTGATAATCTTGAAAATCCAATTTGTATTTTTTATTTTCTTATAAATTATTAAATTATTCTACTTATTATAATTTAATTCCTAATATTTTTATATAATTTATTTTTAGTTAATACTAATACTAACATGGATACCATAGAGAGTTTATTTTTAGTATTAAACTGAGAAAACAGTTAATACTAATACTAATCACTATTAAATTAAAAAAAATAACACTGTTATAATTTTAATTATTTTTGAAAATGAAAAAAAAAAAAAAGAAACTATTTAGTAAAAACAGAAATCAATTTTTAATTAACCAAAGTTTTTTCTATTATATAACATGGAAATCATAATTAAAATACAGTATTTATATATAGCTAAATACCTGGCAACATTGGGTTACTGTGCATCCATATTCCAAGCTGCTTCATGCGTCCAAAGCATCTTGACCAGCCTCACACCATAACCCGCGTACGAGATATTTTTAAAGACAATCAATGTATTAGTAAAGAAATAACTCAATAACAAAAAACAAAGTGTTTGGAATCATCCATTTGTAAGTAAATCAAAACCTAATAACAGAAGAATAAAAAATACAAAGTGTTTGGAATCATCCATTTGTAAGTAAATCAAAACCTAATAACAGAAGAATAAAAAAAACAAAGTGTTTGAAGTCAGTGTGTTTGTAACCCAACGTTGAATCCATTCGCATAGTCCACCCTTCTAAAAACCATTTTGTTCCTCTCCTTCCGGGGGCGTATTAAGTCAAATCAATTCGAGTAAATCATCCTTTATACTAACAGCTACTTTATTTAGAATTTCAAACAGTATTAATACGCTCTGTATCGCACACACAATTCTACAAACATTTATGTTCTCTACAATGGAAGAAAAATCGCTTTCTTAACATCCAATTCCAAATCAAACGCTCACTAAAAAAAACCGACTCCTCAACTTTCTTTGCTTCAACGAGTGCAATTGATATCACTCCACAAACAATTAATTCTCCACGTAAAAGAAAGAGTAAAAAAAGAGCCGTAGGATCCTTCTCTTTTAAGAGTAGAATAAATGGATCCCTTTGTATTTCTGCCACTGATATCCCTTGAAAATTTACATGAAATCATAATCATCAAGTGCATCGTATGTATCGACAACCAAATCATCATCAGGTTTATCAACATGAAGCTGTTTTTTCTTCCCACCTGAACAAAAAGAAAATAATCAAGGTGATGTCAGCATCCGATGCCGAATTATTGGTAAAATCAACAAAAAATAAAAATGGTAACATTATAAATCAAGAGATGAATCAGAATAGGAAAAAGGAAAATGAGGTACAATGATGTTGGTAACTAGTAAGATTTGTCAAATTATTTACAGTTTATAACGTACCTCATATACAAACCTTTTTAACCTCCTTGTAACTTAAAAAGTCATTCTTTATGAAAAACAACTTGTCACAACATACCAGATGGTATTTAAAAAAAAAAACCCAGAAGGAAACGTATTAGACATATATAGATACAAGGATACGAAGATTCTTGTAATCATATTTTAGATTTTTCAAAATGCTACTAATTAAAAACAAAATTGTTGGAGCATCAAAAATTGATTTTAAAAAATCAGATGAAACCAATGACTATTGAAAAATAAAACTAAAATAATAGTCAAAACAGAAAAAGTGCTCAATTAGTCGTGATCTCTATGAAGGTTACTAAATCAAACTCCACTGATATATTACTGCATATTGATTTAATTCAGAAAGAACTGGACCTGATTAAACACTCAAATCATACCCGCCCTTTTTATCTGTGATATTCACATGTAATAAACCTTCACAAACTCCCCAGTCAACAACGATGTATCCAACACTCCATTAAACGTTTGTTACACATTAGTTTATGTTCTTCTCCTCTATCCCCAAAGAAATATAGAAAAACAATCATCTGTGAAACACAAGATATAACAAAAAAAAGATGATGGTAAAACTTTACCCGTCTTCCTTTTGCCAGCATTTGCTTCTTTCTCTGCTTTTAGTTTTTCATTAGCTATTGCTGTAATTGAAGAAGCAACCTCTTTCGCATCTGCTGCTTTCAAGGAAGTCATTGACAGCCTCATGACTGCCTTAAGTAAACCAATGTAGTGGTAACTTTTCTGCAACAAAATATCTAGATCAGTTAATCAAAAGGAAAAAAGTAAAAGCATTATCCAGCCAGTTCAGAAACTGTTTTCATTTTGAGCAAAGAAAGAAAAAAGATAATTCAACATACCTCATATGGCCGAAGCTTATGACAAACTAGCTCTGCATATTCTGCAAAGTCACCTTCAGATTTGGGAATGAAATTATCAAGCGTCTTGTGGTCATCTTTCCTAGCAAACAGTTCGGTTGTGGACCTGTAATCTGCTTCTTCTACAAGCCTGCAATGGGGAGCACGTTAAAGTGTGCCTTGCATACAAGAAAGAGTCATAACTTTAAATCCATCCCGCTAATTACAACTGTCCATATAAGTGATCTAATTAATTCCACAATTCACCACATAAAATTGAGTCACTGATGATCATTAATTAAGCACACTTAGGTGACAACTTCCTTATGAGATTTAACATAAAAAAGTTTGTTCAGGAACAAAACTTCTTCAGCCATTAGAAGAAGGATCAAGTAAGAAAAATAAAAATTATTGTAGCACATAATTAGGGCATATCTAAAAGAACAGAAGCACCACAAAAGACCATGAAGCTCAAGAAAACAATCAACTAAACTACACTCAGTATCAGGAATGATTTTGTATGATCCCACCACATTTCCCTCTCATTTCATCAACAAAAAAAGTGGCAGAGACGCAGAGTGTACACAGATACCAAGCCAACAGAAGGAAGTAGTGGTTAGTAGAACATTAGAATTATAGATTCTCCAAAAGAATATTTAGTCAAAATTAGTAGGAAACTGAACACTGAATTTTACCTTTGTTGA